TAAAAAAATATATATGTCTTTGTTTTACTATGGTTGCAAATATCAAAAAATTTCTATATCTGACACGGCACCAGAGTTAAGTTAGGATTTTTCAAAATGCTGACACGCCGAGCTCAAAAGGCTCGCCATCACTGGACTAGGTGAAAAGATGAAGGGATTAAGAAGCACAAATGGGCCCAAGCCGGTGTGGCTCAGTGGTTGAGCGTCGACCCATGAACCAAGACATCACCAGTCTGATCACCTGTTAGAGCACATACCCAGGTTGCAGGCTCGATCCCCAGTAGGGGGCATGCAGAAGGCAGCTGTTCGATGTTTCTCTCTCATCGTTTCTACCTCTCTATCCCTCTCCCTTTCTCTCTCTCTAAAAATAAAAATCTTTTTTTTAAAAAAGTGAATTTGCTTTTAAAAAAAAGTACAAATGTCCCTGGACATTGTGACTCAGTGATTAGAGCATCAGCCTGTGCACCGAAAGATCTCAAGGTGGATTCCTGGTCAAGGGCATGTATCGGGGTTGCAGGTTCAATCCCAGGCCCCCAGTCAGGGCACATACAGGAGGCAACTGGTCAATGTGTCTCTCTCACATCGATGTTTCTCTCTCTCGCTTGCTCATTCTCTCTCTCTTTCTCTCCATCTTTTCCCCCTTCCCTGCCACTCTCTCCAAAAATCAATGGAAAAAATATCCTCAGGTGAGGATTAATAAAAAAAAATTGTTTTAAAGAAGTACAAATTTTTTTAATATATATTTTTTATTGATTTCAGAGAGGAAAAGAGAGGGAGAGAGAGAGAAAAACATCAATGATGAGAGAGAATCATTGATCAGCTGCCTCCTGCACACCCCCTACTGGGGATTGAGCCTGCAACCTGGGCATGTGCCCTTGACTGGAATCAAACCCGGGATCCTTCAGTCCACAGGCCGATGCTCTATCCACTGAGCCAAACCAGCTAGGGCAAGAAGTACAAATTGATAGTTACAAAATAGTCATGGGGATATGAAGTATAATAATCCTATATAATAAAAGCTTAATATCTAAGTGTCTGGTTGTCTGGTCAAAGCATAATATGCTAATAATATGCTAAGGCCACTCAACCACTCGCTGTGACATGCACTGACCACCAGGAGGCAGACAATCGACTGGTCAACCAGTCGCTATGATGCACACTGACCACCAGGGGGCAGACATTCTGACCAGTAAGTTAGCTTGCTACTGGGGTCTGGCAGATCGGGACTGAGCGAGATGGGCTGGACATACCCTGGAGTCTTCCCGCTGGCCAACCTCCCCTGTTCCTCCCCGGCCTCAATTGTGCACCAGTGGGGTCCCTCGGCCTGGCCTGCACCCTCTTGCAATCCAGGACCCCTCAAGGGATGTCAAAGACCCAGTTTTGGCCTGATCCCACAGGCCAGGCCAAGGGACCCCATTGGTGCATGAATTCGTGCACTGGTCCTCTAGTATTGTAATAACTATATATAGTGTCAGGTGCATATTGAAAATATTGGAAGGAACACTTTGCAGAGTATATGATTGTCTAACCACTATAATGTGTACACATTCTATGCTGTACACCTGAAATGAATATAAATACTAAAATAATATTGAATATATTGAAAATTTTTGTAAAAACAAACACACCTGCACATGCTTCTTCCATCCCCAGCCCTCAGGACACACCTGGACTCAGGAGGGATCAGAGAGGAGTGATCAAGAAGGTTCCCCACCATTTCTGCCACTGTGCCTGCAATTCTGCCGTAAGCTTTATCCCTCTGGGTTGAAGCCTTAATAGGAACCAGTGTAGTAAGGCAATTCGGTACAGGGGCTCTGGACTCTGTTATACCTGAATCTTCAGTCCTGGTCCGACCCCAAGTAAGTCACTTAACTTTTCTGGGGCTTGGTTTCCTTATTTTTTTAAAAGACAATTTTTAGAACAGTTTTAAGTTCACAGCAAAATCGAGAGGAAGGTACAGAGAATTCCCATATAGCCCTGCCTCCACGCATGCACAGCCTCCCCCGTTACCAACCCCCACCCCAGAGTGGAGCATTCAATGAACCTACATGGGCACACCTAAGGTTCGTAGTTTACGTCAGGGTTCATGCTTGGTGTTGTACATTCTATGGGTTTGGAAAAATGGGTAATGACATGTATCTACCATTATCATATCATACAAAATACTTTCAGTGCCCTAAACATCCTCTGTGCTCTGCCTACTCGTCCCTCTCTCGCCCCACCACCTGGCAACTCCTGGTCCTTCTACTGTCTCCATTGTTTGCCTTTCCGTGTCATATAGTTAGAATCGTGTAGTATTGGCCTTTTCAGGCTGCTGCTTTCACATAGTCAGGCATTCATGTTTCCCCATGTCTTTTCATGGATTGATAGCTCACTTCTTCTTATCACTGAAAAATATTCCATTGTCTGTATGGATCAGAGTTTACTGCCTTATTTTTTAAAACTATTTTTGACTCAGAAATTATTTTAGAGAGAAGAAGGGAGAGGGAGAGGAAGAGAGACAGACAGACATCAATGTGGGAGAGAAACATCTAACAGCCACCACCCATTCAGGCCCCAACCAGGGATGGAATCTGAAACGTGGGTATGTGCCCTGACCGGGAATCGAACCTACCACTCTTTGGTGCATGGGACAATGCTCCAACCAATTGGGCCACATAGGCCAGGGCTATTGCCTTATTCTATTTTTCTTTTTTTTTTAATATACTTTTATTGATTTCAGAGAGGAAGGGAGAGGGAAAGAGAGAGACCTAGAAACACCAATGATAAGAGAGGATCATTGATTGGCTGCCTCCTGCATGCCCCCTACTGGGGATCACTCCTGAAACCCTGGGCATGCGCCCTTGACCAGAATCAAACCAGGGACCCTTCAGTCCACAGGCCGCCTCTCTATCTATTGAGCCAAACCAGCTAGGGCGTATCGCCTTATTCTTAAAAATAGAATTAACTACAGATACACTCACACACAGCCAAATGCACACAGTTATTCAACTCATTTGCAGAGACTGACAACTGCAAACAACCTAAACGCCGCTCAGTAGAGGCCTGGCCGAGTGACTCCCGGCTCACCACGCCCCGGGACACTATGCAGCTGAAAAGCAAGACTCGCACCTCACGTGCGCCCCACACATCGGTCTCCAGAACCAGGATTAGTCCAACAAGCAAAGTGCAGAACAGTGTGTGTGGAAGGCAGTTCCGCTGTTTATGCGAAACAAAAGGGAGCGATAGTGATTACAGTGCTCGTTCGTACGCGAAGACCACCGGCAGGCCCCTCACGAGGCCTAGGCTGCCGCCAGGAAGGGACTTAGGGGAGGCCTGGGGAGGGGACTTTGCATTGCATGTATTCTTCATATTGTTTGATTTTGGCATGTGTATTATCTATATTCTTAAAGTGATAAAATTATTATTTTAAAAAGATTTTTAAACCCGCAAAGGCCGGGGACAATAAGAGCCCCACCTCACAGGCTGTTGTGAGGACCTGGGGGGATGAAGCAGGGCCGGCCCACGGTGACCGCCGTCAGCGGGCACTGTCACCGACGCTGAGGCCATCTCTGGATGGGGACATGACGGTGTGGCCCCTTGCTACTCAGTGTGGCCTGTGGACCTGCAGTGTCAGCATTGCCTGGGAGCTGGCTAGAAACGACCCCCCACCCCCCGCCACTGAGTCAGAACCGCATTTTAACAAGACCCCCCGGCCCCAGTGCACACATGCGAGTTCTGGAAGTGCCGGTGTAGACAGTGGGGAAAGTCAAGTGACACCTGCTGGGGGGGGGACCCCAAAGGCCTGTGGGGACTGGAAAGGCCCTGGCAGGAGGGCTGGGAGCCCCGATGGGCAGCTCTAACCCCAAATTTCCCACATCCTCGCTGGCTTGGGCTCTGCCAGGCCTGGGTTCCTGGACTGAGAACCGGTGGGCCCCTCCTGCTCACCCCTCCACTTGGGCCCACCCTCGGGGTGCAGCCTGACAGTGGCTGGGGCGCCTCTCACCTTCATGCCGGCCACGTCGATGCGGGTCCGCACCTGGAAGTGGGCGCCCACCTGGATGACCCTAGGCACGCAGTAGAGCAGCATGTTGTTGAACTGCAGGAGACACAGCACGGGCGTGTGCAGTGGGGGCGGGAGACGGCCAGGCGGGCTCCCTGAGGGGCCCCAGCGCCAGGGTCCCTGCCCCTCTGGCCACACTCTGGGCCATCTCCCAGGATGTCACGCGTGGGGAGGAAGGGGTTGTCTGGCCCCGAATCCAACGGCTGCCCTGCCAGTGGGCATCCAGGGTCCACGGCAGAGCTCAGAAACCTGGGAGGCCTTTTTCAGGGCTTAGGGGGGCAGGAGCTCCCTGCACCCCGCCCACCAGGCAGGACCAGCTTCCCGGTCTCCGGTGCCAACCAGGCAGTTCCCCCTAGTAGCTAACCTAAACGCCCTGCTGTGCCGCCTAGAGCACAGATCACACCACGGGCTTCGGAGCCAAAGGGTCTGGGTTCAGATGCCGACGCTGTGGCTCCCCGGGGCGTGTCTGGGACACCACGCAGCTGGGAACCCCCAGGCCCGGAGGCCGCTAGTGCCACAGCAGCGGACAGGTCAGCAGGTTCTTCCCTGCTCCTCCGGGAGGTACCCGGCGGTGTGACACCCAGCCTCCCCTACCAGGAAAAGGTAGCGCTCCGTGGGGTCTCTGCGGCGGAAGGAGATCTTGAGCACGGGGCCCTCGCGGAGCAGGGCGTTGGACGGGTCCACGATGTCGTCTTCCAGGCCCAGGCGCTGGTACACTTCCCACAGGTCCTGCAGCCGCTCCTGGGGACGGTGTACCCTCAGTCACGCGCAGGGCCCACCTCCTTCTGGGACAGGGGGCGAGGGGGCGAGGGGGTGAGGGACCAGGGATGGGCGGGTGCAGAGACCTGGTTGGGCTGGGGAGGCTGAGAGCGGCAGGAAGGAGGAGGCAGGGCCCCAGGGGCCCCCCTGCCCCCTCCCCTGCGGGCGGGGCTGCTCACCATCTCCTTGATGGCTGCGTTGGAGTGTTGCGCGGCTGAGAAGATCAAGTCGAGGGCTTCTGGGGGGCGGGACAGAAGCAGAGTTATCCCCTGAAAATCCGGCTGGAGGCTGAGGCAGGGCCCTGAGCTGGTGATGGGGGCCACTTCCCTCCAGGCTGGAGAGCTGGGAGCCACCGCAAGACGGGGCTCAGGCGGCCGGCGTCTGTCTCTCCCACTGCTCCCCCGGACCCAGGGGGGCACTGGAAAGGCCTGGCTTCAAAGCCCCGCTCCGCCCCTTTCTGGCTGCGTGCCATCGAGCAAGTCACTTAACCTCTCTGGACCTCAATGTCCTTGCCTGCAAAATATGGCTAGTGGGTCCTGGCCAGTGTGGCTAGGTGGTTAGAGCATCGGCACTCACACAGAAGGGCCCCGGGTTTGATTCTCGGTCAAGGGCACGTACCTGGGTTGCAGGTTCAATCCCCCGCCCCGGCTTGGGGCATGTGCGAGAGGCAACCAATCCATGTGTCTCTCTCACATTGATGTTTCTCTCTTTCTCCCCCTCCCTAACTCCCTTCCACTCTCTCTAAAAATCAATGGAAAAATATCCTCAGGTGAGTGTTAACAACAACAAAAAATAGCTAATGGTATAGATAATGTCTACCAAGTACCAATGGCTGATGGCTGATGCTATTATAACATTTTAGCAGGTGCTCAGTGACTATTGGGAGCAGCGCGGCCTCCCCAACCCTGGGCGCCCCGGGCGTGTCCTCACTCTGGGCATCAGCCCGGTCCGGGGCCTGGGCTGGCAGCTTCTGGACGTACTCCTTGAGCAGCAGCTCGTAGCGTGGGATTCTCTGCACAGGTTCCAGCATGTGGTGCTGCAGGGTCAGGCTGCCCGAGGCCTCGCTGCTCTTGGGGAGGGATAAGGAGAGGAAGAGTGTGGGGTGAGAGCGGGAGGGGCGAGGGAATCGAGGGAAGGCTGAGCCTGGGAGGTGCCCCAAATCGCTGGGGAAACGCAGCCACTGCCCCGCCCCCACCCAAGCTCACCTGAATTCGAGTGAGAACCTCCTGGAAGCGGGGAGACTTGTCAGTCCAGATGGCCAGCAGCTCGGCGGCTCGCTCAAAGTTCTTGACATACTCACTGTACATCTTCAGGAAGGGGGCCAGTTTCTGGATCACATCCCCGATGCGGGGGGTGGCTGACCTGCGGGAGGGGCGCCCAGTATGGCCCTCGGCGTGAGGACCTCCTCTCCCTCCGGGCAGGTAGGTGAGGCCGGCCCCTGACCCGCCAAAGCAGCCTTCCCACTGCACTTCTGGGTGCAGTCATGGGGCGTGTCATCCCACACGTGTGTGAGGGGGGGCGTGTTCTCTCCCACGGACTGGGCTCCCCCAAAGGCCAGCACCGGCCGGGCCCAGGACAGGTGTTCAGTACCCACTGGGTACTTGTTCCTGTGACAGTAACGAGGGCCACGTGCCAGGCACTGCACGCCTCCTCTCAGTCTCGCAGCCCTGCTTGGAGGAGGACATGGAGACCCAGGGGAAGAACTCGTCCAGGGTCACCCGTGGAAGGGCCCGAAGGCCATGCAACCCAGGAACTTTAAGAGCAGAGCAGCCCTAGCTAGTTTGGCTCACTGGATAGAGCGTCGGCCTGCAGACTGAAAGGTCCCAGGTTTGATTCTGGTCAAGGGCATGTACCTTGGTTGGTTGTGGGCACATCCCCAGGAGGGGGTGTGCAGGAGGCAGCTGGTCGATGCTTCTCTCTCATTGATGTTTCTAACTCTCTATCCCTCTCCCTTCCTCTCTGTAAAAAATCAATAAAACATATATATATATTTTTTAAAAAAGCAGAACAGTCGGGAGCTGGCCCATCTGCGTGTGATTCCCAGCTGCGTCTCTTAGTCTAGCTGCCTCTTGTTCGAGCTGAGTTTCATGGGCAAGTCAACTAGCCTCTCTATCGTTCAGTTTTCCCATCTGGAAAAGTGAAAATGATGGCAGGTGACCTCGGAGGGTTGACTTTAAAAATACGTATAAAGTCAAAAGAATATAACAATGAACTGCATACTCATCACTGGATTGAACAATTACTAACATCCTTCTTTGCTGAAGAATCTTAAAAGACATCCCAGACATTGTGGCATTTCTTTGGCAAAATACATAAAGCAAGTAATTTTACCACCAAATACTTGAGTGGTCACTTCTGAAAACAAAGAGGGTTTCTTGCATAACTACGATGCCCCATCACACAGGGGGCTGATCTGAAGATTAAATGAGTGAACATAAAGCCCCCGGCCGGGCATGGAGGAAGGTTAGTCCCGCCTCCTAAGTCACCCAGCCTCATGAGGACCCGGTCCATCCCTTCCCAGGACACACACACCCAGGGCTCATTCATCCAAGCCCCTCACTGTGCAGACAGTGAGCGCAGAGCAGGAGACCCTCCTGGCCACACAGCCAGGGCCCTGGGGGCGGCACCCCGACCAGGCCCCGGGGCTGTGGTCGGGGGACTCGGGGCTCCTGGTGGACCTCACCAGTCATCCAGCCGCCGCTGGAGCTCTGGGAGGAAGAACTGCGCGTGGAACTGGTAGATGGAGGAGATGTTGGAGAAGATGAGCCGGACCACGTCCTCGGGGAAGGCCTTGCTGCTACGGGCCTCCTCCAGCAGCTCCTGGAAGAACACCTGCAGCCACCACAGCGTCAGGGGGCCCGCGCAGAGAGGGATCCCCCGGCAGCCCGGGGGGACACGCCCGGCCCCAGGTCAAGCTCCCGCTTACTGAGTGCTCTCGCCTCCCTAATCCCCCGCATCCTCCCAACAACCCCAGGCGACACAGGCAGGGAAGACTGTATTCTGGCCACTTTACAGATGGGCAAACCCTGGCCTAGGGACTTGCAGACTTGGCCAAAGGCAGGCGGCTGATGGATGTCAGAAATGGGCCAGTCTGGGCTGTCGGGGTCTTAGACTTTGCCAGCCTAAAGGTGCCTCTGCTGGGGTGCAGTGATTGGACCCCCTCGCCTTGGGCTCTTTAAGAAAGTGTGAAGGGATGATAGGTGAGGATGTTTGCCTTGGAGTGAGGATGCTGTGGGGGCCTGGAAGGACTGGCTGGTGTGTACTCGGCACAGGTGAGGCGCCAGGCACCAAGGGGGGAGTGGGGAGTGGCGCTGATGGGCTGTCCTGGTTTCTGTCCGCTCCAGCCAGCAGGGTTAAAGGACTCGGGCCTCCTAGAATCAGGTCGAGGGGCCTAACTCTCAGCTCTGGTGAGGTGGGTCGGGAGGGAGAGCAGGGGTGAGGTGAGGAGACCAGGTGCTGGGGCTCAGGTGGGGGTGTCCTAGCCACTGGCCTGGTCCAGCAGGTGCAGACGGGCCACGTAGGCCTGCTCGGTCTCCAGCAGCTCCTGGACGATCCTCTTCTCAGGCTCCTGCAGGGGGTGTGGAGGGAGAAGGAGAGGGACAGCTTTGGTCTCCTCTGATGGGCACCTGGGGCATTGTCTTTAAAGATGCCCCGGTGAAACACACCTCCTGGCATTCATGCCCTCCCAGTACTCATGCCCTCAGTGCATCTGGAGGTCTGGTGGCCCTGGCGGAGAGACCCCGTGGGGAGGAGAAGCCCTGAGATTCTACGGACAGAGCCAGGGGCCACTATGCCATGTCCCAGCTGAGCCCAACCTCTGGCCATCGCTGGCCAGGCACCAGGCTGGAGGGTTGAGCTTTGGGGGCAGTCCAGCCCCAGCTACCATCTGACTGCAGCCACATGACAGACCCTGTCATGGACGAAGTTGTGTCCCTCTCAAATTTATATGTTGAAGCCCTAACCTCTAACGTGACTGTTTAGAGCCTTTCAGGAGGTAGTTAAGGTGAATTGAGGCAGGGCCCTCATCCACTGGTGTTGGATAGGAAGAGGAAGCGACACAGGAAAGCAGTGCACAGAGAAGAGGCCACGCGAGGACATGGCAAGAAGACAGCCACCTGCAAGCCAGGGAGAGAGGCCTCACCAGAAACCAGCCCTGCGGCACCTTGACCTTGGACTTCCAGCTCCAGAATTGTGGGAAAATACGTTTCTGTCCATTCAGTCACCCAGGCTGTGGTATTGTGTTATGACAGCCCGGGGTGACTAGGACAAACCCCAAGCGAGACCAATAGAAGAACCACCCAGTAGTACTCCAGGCAACCCACAGAATTGTAAGGAAGAATAAACCATTCGGCAACGGCGTGTTGGGTGGTTTGTTATGTGGCGATTAATAACCAGACGTACTATTGTGATCATCATCTCCATTTGCAAGTGAGGAAGCTAAGGTGCAGGGAGGTTAAGAGGACTTGCCCCAGGTCGCACAGTTAGCAAGCAGAAGAGGGGGGAGTGAGCCCGGGCAGTCTGGCTCCAGGGCCAACTTGCAGCCTCGCCTTTGAACTGCACAAACAAGGACCCTGAAACCCAGAGAAAGGAGGTGACCTTCCCAGGATCAGTCTAAGGACAGGAATTAGCACTGACCTCTGCTTCTAGGTGGGATTGTTGCCTCCTTCAGTGGGTAAACTGAGGCCCCACTGGGAAGGGTACCTGGTTTACAGGTTGGAGACTGTTCCAAGCTGTGCGGCCTTGGACAGTTCCCTTAAGCTGTCTCAGCGTGGTTGTCCTGGCCTGACAGATGCCTGCACAGAGGGGTACGTGAAATCCCAGCAGCGGGGTACACGCTGGACACTTAATCAAAAGCCTTTAACTGGGAGGGGTTCCCTTCCAGCTGGGGAAGTGCTGGCGCTGGCTGGGAGAGACCGTGTGGGGCGGGGGTCAGTGGAGGGGACCCCAGCTCCCCACTTCTACCCCAGCCCTCAGGCACCTGTGTCCCTGGCTCAGGGCAGCTGCTGAGCTGGCAAGATTTCCTCCAGGCCCCACTGGACAGCTTGTTCTTCAGGGAGCTCAGGTACCTCCTGCTGACCGTCCTGGGCCCGGACCCCAGGGCCTCCTCGACGCTGGGCTTCTCCCCCGGGCCCTCGGGTGGGGGAGACCTGCACCCGGCATGGTGGGCCCCGGGCGCTGCTCCTGGCGCCCTGCGGAGAGAGCACACCTGAGGGTGCCTGTCTGTAGAGTGGAGAGAACAGCACCTGCGTGGTAGGCAGTTGGGGTGGTTGATGCAAATCACAGGGGTGCAGTGGCCCTCAGGAGGAGTCGCTAAGTAAACATCCACTTCCCTCCCAACTCTCTCGGAGGAAACTCCGGTCTTCAGAATGAGTCAGCGTGAACTGCGTACTTCCCTGTTTAACAAGCAGCCAGGAGGCCTCTCCCTGCTGTGCAGGGAGATGCTAGGAGCTGACACAGCGATCCTGCAACCACGCGCGCAGACCTAAGTTAGAAGTCAGTGTGCTGGGGGGTGTCCAGATGGGGATGTGAGAGGACCCTTCAGACCAAATCTACACACAGACCTAGACAACCAATCCCACACATGAAACAACTTCCTCCGAAACACGCTGAGCATCAGCCGCTGACACCTGGACTCCTTCGCATTAGGGCCAGTGGTCGGCAAACTCATTAGTCAGCAGAGCCAAATACCAGCAGTATAACGATTGAAATTTCTTTGGAGAGCCAAATATTTTAAACTTAAACTATATAGGTAGGTACATTGTTATTAACTTAATTAGGGTACTCCTAAGGCTTAGGAAGAGCCACACTCAAGGGGCCAAAGAGCCGCATGTGGCTGGCGAGCCGCAGTTTGCCGACCACTGCATTAGGCGAACGAGGGAAGGCCCACACTTAACAGGCAGGAGGGACGGGACACGATCTCGCCACAGAACCCACTCCCGGCGCCGCCCACAGTCTGGAGGAGTCAAACCAGAGCTGCTCCCCGAGGGGCGAAGGTCTGAACCCCACATCCTGCCCTCCCAACGTTTAAGACCTGTACCTGGGAACAGGCTCCCCCCGCCCCCGCCCCGAGAAATGCAGCCAGGAACCCCGCCTGCACATAGAGGTTTGAGTGCCCCAACCCTCGCACCCTCCGCTGCCAATCACCCTCCCTGTGCACCTCCCCTGTGCCTCCAGCGGGGGACGTGGAGAAGGCCGGTCTGAGCAGTTTCCCTGGGCTCCCAGCTTCCCTGGGTTCGGAGGGCAGCTTGGTCACCCTGCCTACCGGGTCTGCAGGCCACTAAACTCTTTAGGTAACAGAGGCCACCTCCCTGTATATCCAACGACGTGGGCGGGACCTATTGCCTTTGCTGTGGGAAGGCTTGCGATGACAGCACACAGGCATCCTTAGGAGGAAGACAGGCTGGGAAGTGGACACCAGCCAGGTACGAAATCTCCAACATTCTCGGAGAAAGTGTTCCATTACCCCCTTTCCAGCTAAGAGGCAGAAGGGATCATCTCTCAGCGAGGGGGTGGCAGAGGTGGGATTCCGATCAGGCGGGCTGGCTCCTGAGCCTTCCTCCCAACTGCCCCTCCCCACCTGAGTCGAGGAGAAATAGGTCCAGAGAGGACCGGCCCAAGTCACACAGCTGGTTCGTAGCAGAGAGGGGATCGGGACCGGCCTCCGACGGCCCCTCACAGGCTCCTCCACCGCTCGGTGCCCAGTGCCCGGTTCCCCAGGCCGCGGGGCTGCAGCTCATGAAAGCAGCCGGGCCTCGGCTTTCTGTTCTACATGTGGTTCCAGCTTCTGCATTTCTCTCCGAGCGCCCCAGGCCAGCTGGTTTCCTCTTCACCCCTCAGTTTCAGATCAGCTAATGCGCTGGAGACCTCACCAGAAATCGCGGGCCCAGGCGGCGGGCATGGGGGCACCTGCCTCACACAGTAAGGGTGATGTTCACCCCCCTACAGGGCCTCCTCTGACCGAATTCTGGTCTGAGGGCTGCCTCCTCCTGCTAGGGGTGTTGCCCGGCAGAGCACACGTGCTGAAGGTCTCCACTGGGCGTGCCTGGGGCACTGGGTGGAGTGATGCCCTCTCCCCACACCCAAGGGGGTGGTGGGCCCAGCAGGTGGCTGCAGAGCTGTCCTCGGTGCTGAAATGCTTGGCAAAGGACCCTGGCAGAGGCAGGGCCAGGTCACCGGCTCTGGGAGTGGAGCTGTCCTCTGGGTCCCCGTCTGGGCCACTCTGCCAGGCAGGCCAGGAGGCTCTGTGTGCTCAGCGCCCTCCCGGGATATCTGTTGTCTAGGAGCCTAGCATCAAGACAAAAGTCTCTGGGCAGGGGTCATTCTTTAGCCCCCACGTCTGCCACTCTGCCAGGCAGGCCAGGAGGCTCTGTGTGCTCAGCACCCTCCCGGGATATCTATTGTCTAGGAGCCTAGCATCAAAGACAAAAGTCTCTGGGCAGGGGTCATTCTTTAACCCCCACGTCTGCTGGCTCCTGGGGGTGCTGGGCTGTGCCACCTACAGCCCCGCAGGGCAGAGGCACCGTCCCCGCAGCTGCTGGCAATGGCCCCGGCCCCAGAAGAGAGCTGCCTCACCCAAGGTCAAGTCCACCTTGCTTCAGCGGGAACAGCCTGAGAGCCACCCAGTTCCGCACTCCCTGGGACGGGACGGGCCTCTGCCCCACGGACATCCCCAGAGATCCCCTGAAGGAAACCTCCACCTCAGAGTCTATCTCCCAAGGACCCAGCATGACAGTCCCTAGCACAGACCCTGACAAGCCTGCAGCGTGGATTAATGTCACGCACACACACACAGGCACGCACACACATGCACGCACCTACACGGGCACCACCCCTGCCAGGGCCGCCGATGACCTCCACACACATGACTTGGCCTTTCCCCTTCAGACGGAAGCCCCTGCACTGCCCTTTGCCCATGAACTTAAAGCCTCCTCCCCTCTCTGCACCTTTATTTTCTCATCTGTAGATAGAAATAGAACCTCCCCTGTTAGGCTGTTAGATGAGCAATGAGGTAACAAAAACACTTAGCGCCCTGTAGGTGAGCCGACCCTACACCCCAGTTGTGTGACACAATCCCAGCTTCTCCTACTGCCCCCAACCCACCCGGACAAGTCAGTGCCATTCACCCTCGGTGTCAATGTGTCCTGGTTTGAGTGACAGATTGTATGGTTTTCCCAGTCAGGAGGAGTAAGTGCGCGGTCAGTATTAGCTCTAATTCTGCGGGAGGGGCCGTGGGTGGGGTTGAAGTTCATCTCTCTCATAATTACACACATCGGGACTCTCCCCAACACATTGACACACTCTCCCCGCTGCCCAGCTCCTGGCTGCCCCAACAACGTTCTCCTAGGCCCCGAGGAACCCATGACCAAGTGGCCCACAGCCCAGTCAAGAGGGGTGTCCCGGACAGGCCCAGAGAGAGGGCTGCTCACTGAGGGCCCAGGGGGTCCTGGGCCTGCTCCCGGGCCTGGAGGGCCTGTACTGCCCAGGGGCCCAGGGTGGGCATGGTGACCCTTCCCACCCCCACCACCCCATACCTGCTGTTCTCAAATACAGTCACCAGATCGGACACAGATGCCAGCTTCTCCTTACTCTCCCCCTCCATCCTGCAGGCTCCAGGGTCCCCTGAGGCAGAGAGAGGCCTCCAGCCCGCACCCTCACCACCCCACCTGGGGTCACAGGTGGGCTAAGGCATCAGGCATCTGCTCCTGTCTTTCCCAAGAGCTCAGCAGGCCTGCTCCCGGCTTCAGAGTGAAGAAGGAGGAAGTGGTCCCAGAGCCACAGCCCTGAAGGGGAAAGGCCGGTGCTCCCCGCAGAGGGAGGAGTTTGCTCGGCCCCACCCCTCCCTCATGGGGGCTGAACTTTTGCTCCCGTGGACCCCCCCCCCCGTTCCAGAAGCCACACAATAGGGGGGCAACGGCCAGGGGTAGTTTCTGGGGCTATGGCCTTGGGTGGACTCTTGGCCAGAGCATCTCTAGTCAACCACACTTTCTCTGTTACAGGGCTCAGTGGATTCTACTTGGTCCTCAACAACTTCTTCTCTGCATCTGACCCTGTTCACTGCTGTGAAAACAGCTTACAAAAATTTAAAAATAGCCCGGCCGGCGTGGCTCAGTGGTTAAGCATCGACCTATTAACCAGGAGGTCATGGTTCAATTCCCAGTCAGGCCACATGCCCGGGGTTGCGGGCTTGATCCCCAGTAGGGGGTGTTCAGGAGGTGCCCAATCAATGATTCTCTCTCATCATTGATGTTTCTATCTCCCTCTCTCTCTCCGTCTCCCTTCCTCTCTGAAGTCAATAAAAATATATTAAAAATTAAAAATAAGTTACAAGCCTGTGAAGGGCCGGTAGGAGGAGTATGTGGTGGCCTCCCCTCCCCACTGGGGCACCTCCCACTGGGGCACCTCCCACTGGGGGCTCTCATTTTAATGCCCCAGGGGAGGGTGCCTTCCTCCCTGAAACTGCCGATGATAAGAATAGCGAACACACTCTTTATAGTGTTACAAGTATTTTCTCATTTCATTCCATAACAGCTTGTGAAGTGGGTCCTATTACTGCCCTCATTTTACCACTCCATTTCTTTGTTGTTGTTAATCCTCACCTGAGGATATTTTTCCATTGATTTGAGTGATAGATTACAGTGGGGCCTTGACTTACTAACCAGTTTTTTGAGATACCAGCTGTCTCTCGGCTGATTTTTTGCATTGAGTTGACAGAGTAATTTGAGTTAACGAGCTCCTTAACGAGCTCCTTAACATCTCCTTAACTAGCTCGGTCTTGGAACGAATTAAACTCTAAACTCGTAAGTCAAGGCCCCACTGTATATGGTTATCCCAGGAGAGAGTAGAAGGGAGGGGGAGATCGAGAGAGAACCATGCTTCCTGCACGTACCCCAACTAGGGCCAGGGATCGAGCCTGCAACTGAAGTACGTGCCCTTGACCAGAATCGAACCCAGGACCCTTCAGCCCGTGGGCTGACGCTCTATCCACTGAGCCACACAGAAGAAAAAAATGAGGATCAGAGAGGTTAAGTAACTTGCTCCCAGTCACCCAGTAAGAACACAAAAGAAGTCATGTTTCCAAAGCCACGGTGAACGCCCCCCAGTTCTGGCGGAGAGCTGGTTGGGAGCCTGGCTGAGCTCTGACTGCCCCACCCTCGGGCTTCCCAGCTCCCAGTGTGCCGGGGCGGCCCTGCCCGAAGTCTCCTCGGCCGCCTGGGCTCCCAGCCCTTCCAGAGCCGCACTGCCTCCGCTCCTCGTTCTAGTCTCACAGGCCTTCCGGGCCCTCCCCCTGGGTTCTGGCCGCTGGGCCTGAGCCAGGCCTCCGTTGAGACTGGTCTTTGTCCTGCAGTGCAGGGACTTGGCACCGAGTGCCTGGCAGCGCTTCAGGCTCCAGCGCCTGTGAACCGGGCTCACACGCCCCAGCCTCTCTCAGAGCTTCGCCTCAGCGATTTCTGCCAGCAGGTGCCTGGCTCCTCCCCCAACCCTAAACTTTACTAATCCTCCTCCCTTTTGCTTTCACTTTTTATGCACCCCATGAGCCTGTAACCCAGGCCCAGCAGCCACCGGCTCATGGTCAGTCCTGCTCCACGTGCAGCCACATTCATTGCACCCCCCCTCCCCGCTGCCACCATTGGAAGCAAATCCCAGACATCAGATGATTTCACCCCTAAACATTTCTTGTGCACCTGAAAGTACATACACACTCACACTCACCCTCACAGGATGGTGATGTATTCTATATATGCACGCAGACGTATGTCTTATACGTGTTACATACAGTCCACCCTGAACAATGCGGGCTTGATGGCATTTTCAATTGGCCCCGCATCATGACGCGGAGGGCTGCTTAAATCGCACTTGCACTTTTGACGGTGGGAGGTTGGCATCCTTTAAAGTTCAACTGCACGTGTGCTATCTAGGAGACAATATCCCCATTATCACCCCTAGGAGGCGTTTAGCAATCCTTCCTCAATGTAATCAAATACTCGCCAGCATTCACAGACCAGTTCTTCAGCAATATCGCCTGCTGTGGCCTGAAATGTGTCCCCCAAGTTCACGTATTTAAGTCCTGACTCCCAATGTGGCTGGGTTTGGAAATAGGGCCTTTGGGAGTTCGTTCAGGTTAAATGAGGTCAAAAGAGTGGGCTCAAATCTGATGGGACTGGTGGCCTTGTAAGAAGAGGAAGCGATCTCTCTCACCCCTACCCCCTCAGGCCCTGGCCCCCTGCCCAGGAAAGGTCATGTGAGGACAAGTGGCCGAGGACAAGCAGGAAGAGACCCGTCCTCTGGAATCGGAGCCCGACAGACCTTGAACCGGACGTCACGCCTCCAGCACTGAGAGAAATAAGTGCTGTCGTCTTTAAGCTTTCCCGTCCGCCGTATTTTGTTATGGCAGCCTGAGCAGAGTAATTCATCATCATTTTCAAAAAATCAGGATCCATGCCCTAACCGGTTTAGCTCAGTGGATAGAGCGTCAGCCTGCGGACTCAAGGGTCCCAGGTTCGAATCCGGTCAAGGGCATGTACCTTGGTTGCGGGCACATCCCCAGTAGGGAGTGTGCAGGAGGCAGCTGATCGATGTTTCTTACTCTCTATCCCTCTCCCTTCCTCTCTGTAAAAAAATCAATAAAATATATATTCTTTTAAAAATCAGGACCCAAATAAGCCCCCCCTGGCACAGTGAGCTGTCCCGCCTGCTAGCTGTCCTGTCAGCCACGGGCTCCGTTTCCTGCGCAGTGCAGCTCAGAGGACCCTGGGTGCTGGCCCGACAGGCCCCTCGGACAGCGCGATGCCAGTGCCAGTCCTGATTTCCTGTTCGCGATGGTTAGATTGAGGGCCTTGACCAGACTCATACTTAAATGCCACTTCTTCCTGGACGCCTCCCAGGGCTTGGGGAGGCCTCCTTCCTGGGTGCTCCTCTCCCCTCGCCTGCAGTGCCTGGTTCCTCTTCTGCCTCTAGCAGACTGCACCCTGACACCCTGCAGGCAGGGCCAGAGCACACGGACTCGCGGCTGGTGCCCAGCCCGGCCCAGTGTCCCGCACACAGTAGGGCCTCAGAAGGCATATGGAATGGACAAATGTGCCACCTGAGCCCAGAGCTCATTGCATACTTAGCATCCAGTGCTGAGCTTCCAGAGTAGAGTTTGGGCCTAAACAGCAGGACCTGCCCCTCACGCGGAGGCAGGGGAGTGGGTAGAGGTCCCTGCAGGAGGCCACCTAATAGCCCAGCTTTGAATATGACATGGGCACCATCAAAGCTGCATCTGCCCAGGAAGGAGGGCCAAGATGCCCACGTCCCCAAACCACCTTCCAGGGCTCTGCGCCCCTCCCCCCCCAGCCCCCCCTGCATG